TCCCGACCTGACCGACGCTACCAAAACCAAGCGAGGATTGTTTCCAGGACCCAGAGCTGCCAAGGGAACCCACACACGTCCAAGCAGTTGATCCAATCTGATCTGGCCACCCGCAAAAAGGGACCTGGGGTAAAAAATTGTAAGGGGGTTTTTTAGGTCTCAAGCCCAAAGGGGGCCAAAATTTGTTTTTTTTTGGTCCTCCCCCCCCCCCCCCAAAGGGGGTCAAATGTAGCCCCTTTGCCACTTATCCTGCCCTGCAGGGGGGGGGGGGGGGCAAGGGGGTCCCCCAGCAACTGAAGGGTACCCAAAGGGGCCAAATTCAGTACATTTCCTGAGTAAATTCTTTAGGGTATCCAGCCCCCAAATGGCCCAAAATGGGTGTTCTTGGTGCCCATGCTGCCATCTGGAGCGGTCTGAGGGTACAAGTGATTTGCTCACAGTTTTTTCTTTTTCTTTTTGGATTCCATGCAGACCACCATTCACAAACTGCTACCACCCACACAAACTTGTTCAAGTTTTTTAATGAAAGCAATATTTTTTTCACCCTTGCAATGCTGAAAAGATTTGATGCTGACTTCTACTTGTGGTTGGTTGTGAAGACCATTTCTATGGAAGAACGTAAGTGATTTTGCTTTCATTTGTCTTTAGGTGCTTATTCCATCCAGCTGACAAATATGCTTCAAATTTGAGACAGGTCTACCCATCCAGGTTTGTAACCAAACAAAAGGTGCCACATCAAAGCACTCCTCAAAGATATCAAGGCGGACTATGGGAACTCAGACAATGAGGATAACGTCAATTGTACAGAGGTACCCAACATCCGCAGGTCACCAATGGCCCCTGTGAGTGAGGACACCCCTCCTGCTCTGATGCAAACAGGCCAAGCCCGAGCTATTTGCACCCCCGCGGCATCCACAAAGAGTACTGAGCAAGACCTGGACCCACACCGTGAGTCTGCTAACAATCCTCATACACCATCTCCTACCCTGTGTAAAAACAATTTTTTCTCACTCCTGAACCCCATTGGCACCCCTCGGACCACCTGCCCCACCTTTGGTCAATTTTCCTTGGCAAGTGCAACAGCCATGGTTGATATGCAACCAAGAGAAAACTTAGACAAATCATGAAGGACACTGAACTCCTTGGGACAGTGTGTTTTCCTCACTGGAACAGGGAATCAATTGAGCAGAACTTTGCCCAATCAAACCCTTTGCCACGTCCAGCAGAGTTATCCCCGGCGCCTGGCCTGAACACTGCACCTCTGTCCACATTGTCCATGTCTGCCCCTGCCCCATCTCTCTGGCCACGCCCACGGAATCCGGTGATCCATGAGCCAACATCACGTCCATCACAATGCTGCTTTGCCACTGTACAACTCAAGGGGATGGATGATGATGTTGTGGGAAAAAGGGCACACCTTGAATCCCGGGGTTCAGATGAGGAAGCTGATGGGAGTACTGATCACAGTGATGATGAAGTGGATGAACCACTGGCTCAACAACCGTTCCCAGTGGCTCTAGACCATGGTCTGGGTCGCACACCAGATTTCTGGTCCGGCCCAACTTTTCCATCTGTGCAGGTCACTCAAGCTTCTTCTTTCATGCCTGCCTCAATGTTCAGAGACTACATCATCCCTTGGGGGCCACCAAAGGAGACTAGTTCCAACACAAGCTGGAATTCAGCACAGAGTCATACTCAAAGTTCTTTGGGTTCCACACCATTGCGGGCTGCAAGGTCCCCATGTGAGTTGTTTCTTATTTGGATTGGGAGAATATTAGCTGATTTGGTCTGTTGTTGCTAGCGGTTGAGCTGTTTGTCCCTGGCCAAGTCCTTCTGGCGCAAGAGGTAACCCGTTGGAACACCGGATTATCAACTGGGATCCTGTGGTCAATTGAGTCAGCTGAAAAGAGTATGAATAATATCAGTTTTGTACTCAACAACCTCCCCCAATTAATATTGTCACACCCCATGTTACCTGAAGAGGCCACTAGATCTCTTTGGATTGATTTGGGCCACACCCATGAGCTATGTGTGTCAGGTAAGAATTTTTCTGAACCTCTAAGATATAAATTGATTCCATCTATAACTGATCACAATGTTGTTTTCCACAGAGAACATTTTGAAGACAGCAGGGGATTTTTCACTGATCACACCTGACATGGTCAAAATGGACCAAATATCTCAGAAGGTTTTGGCACAAAATGGGTCATTTTGGCCCAAAAGCTGCATTCACATCACTCCAAAAAGGCCCACACATGACTTTATCAAACGCAAACGCTTTGTTTAAATTGGGATCCAGTGTGCTCAAACAGAAGATTGACCTGGGGATCACTACACTGATACCTCATTCAACATTGGACAATCTTAGACTACTTTTCCTGAATTTCCTGATCAAAATGGGTTTCAACCAGTTTGACAAAGATGGTCTCCCAAAGGTGGATTGGAAAGATGTACATACTGCTTTCTACGATGATTTTTCTGCTTCCATGATTGCCCAGATTGTTTCTCAAGACATTGAAATAGCTTTGGCCCACTGCCTGGTTTGATTGGGTGTGCCTTTGGGTTCTTTTGGCATGTTTTTTTGGTCTAAGTGCTGGCTGTTTATTTGATATTATTTTCTTCTTCATTTGGTTCTTTTGGTCTTCCATGTGCTTCTGCTGTTAATTTAGTTTGAAGTGGTGATACTCCTGTTAATTTCCCTGAATGTGGCCAGAGACAAGTTCCTCCTCTGCAATTTAATTTTGTGTCATTTCTGGTTATGCTTGTTGTCTTTGTCTCATGATGTTTGCTGTCTTGTATGCTCAATACTGACTCATAAAAGGTGCCTGACATGTGTAACTCAGGTTTGAGTGTCCTCAATCTGATATTAACCTGATTGTTTGTATTATTTGGTTGCACACAAGGGCATGGGCCCCAATCTTGCAGGTTGAGGTGAAAATTATAAGTAGTGGGTGACATTTCAAATCACAAAAATTAAATTCAAACGGTGGGAGAACATATTTGGGATGTCCTTCAACATGCATGCTGTGGGAATTAAAATTTGAGCAGATACTAATTGAGGTTTATGTAGGCAGAAGAGTTGAGGTAGATATAGGAGCAGGGACAAAATGAGGTGACTATACACCCCTTCATTGGTCAAAATATGCAGGAGTCACAAAGTGTGAATATTAAGGCAGAATCAATTATAATTTTATGTGCAAAATTATTTTTATCAATCATCTGATGGGATCATAGGAGATTGGTTCTAGAGATTGAGTGTCAGGCTTGGAGATGCCAAGACTACAGGTCTTCTAGCTACACCGACTGATGGTGCTGGTTTGAGTAAGATTGGATTTGAAAAGGAAACCGAGTGTGGGGGTTTTACGGTGCCCTCGGGGATACAAGCCTGAGTCTAATATGATGACTGGTGGCGGCTGCAACGGGGTCTTGGCAAAGGGCGAGGGTATTTGGTCCGCGTATCGGAGAATGGGGAGGTAGTTTAGTGACAAGGGAGCTTACTTACTTGAGTCAGAGTCCCCTCAAGTACAAAGCTATTCAAAGCTCAGGCGGCGGTGGAGTCCGAAGGCAACGATGTCCTGTTAGATAGTGTTGAGAGTCTACACGTGGGGTCAAGGATGTCGTTTGATAGGTTGGTGTTCCTGAGTGACGTTTATGAAGGAGAGCAAGAGGTTAGTATTGCGGTTTGAGAGTTTATTTACAATGTGGTTCTGGAAGGAAAGCAGATTCTTGATGCCCAATCTTCTCTGACCTGTACTGGATTTTATATTCATCGGGGCCAGCACCAATGGCGTATGGGAAGCGGTTTCTCGTTTAGGGTCTGTCCAGTTTGTTTCCTTGGTCATGAGGTCATGAATAGAGATGCCAACCTTGACCATTACTCTTCAGAGTGTGACATCTGAGAAACAAGGTGTCACACCTCAAGGAATAGCGCTGGAGATGACGCAGGTCTGTTAATAAGGTATATTACTGCTGCGGAATCACCAACATTTACTCCTGATGCCTTTGACAATTGAATTATATTTTTTCTTTACTCAATTATGGACTTTTTTTTAGGGCATTAATAAAAAAACACGGTTTTTCCGCGTTTACACACGGTTTTGCTGCGGCACAGCGCACGCGGTTTCCGCGTTTAAACACGGTTTCGTAATTAATTTTTTATGGCTTATTTTTCGAGTTTTTTTGAATTTTTAAAGTTGTTTCCTAAACTATAAAAGGCGTAGAATTCAATGGTAAAAACCATTTTTCATAAAAATGAATTTTGATTATTAATTATTTTTTGGGGATTAATAAACGTACCCCCCTTTTCTGCTATCCACACCTGGTTTTCTGCTTCTACACCCGGTTTTTCCCAGCATTTGTAATTCATTTTTTGGAAATTCTGGATATTCTAAAAATCTTCTAAAATTGATCATCCTTTTTGGGTAAATAAAAAATCTTCAAAAGAGAACTCCAATTTTTTTTATTTTTCTCACCCATTTTTTCGAGATTTTTTTTGACCCTATGAACTCTTGAAAACTTGAATTAAAGCCAAAACCTATTATTAATTGTCAAGTTTTTAATTTTTCTTCTCCATACAGATGGTACCATTCAAGATATTTCTTATTTTGTCCATTTGCTTATAGCTCAAAACCAACAACATTGGGATTTCCAAAATGAAATCAAACTTGGTCCTTTATAGATTTCCCAAAGATTGGGAAATATCAATGATAAATTTAAGTGTACTTTGAATTCTCAAAAACTCATAGGCAGAAAAAAAAAAAACTTGATGAATCAGATAAATTAAAATTAAAATTTCTCTTTTGAGGATTTTTCATATACACAAAAAGAACAATCAATTTTAGAAGATTTTTAGCATATTCAGAATTGCCAAAAAATGAATCAAAAAGGCTGGGGAAAACCAGGTGTAAGAGCAGAAAACCAGGTGTGAAAAGCCAGGTGTGGATAGCAGAAAAGGGGGGTACGTTTATTAATCCCCTATTTTTTTCACTCATTTCTCAATTAATTGTTTGCATACATGTATGTATCTTATTTTTTATGTTTTTTTTAAATTTAAAATTTATTTCCTAGGTTTTAATATGCGTAGAATTTAATGGCGCAATCCAATTTTTTTAAAACTCAACGGTTCACTTTTAATACTCAAATTACACCCATTTTTTCACTTAATTTTTTACAGCTTAATTTTCATCATTTTTTGACATTTTGAATTTATTTTCTACACTTTAAGACATTTAGAAAATTATGGTAACAACCATTTTTCCCCAAGTTGAAAACTATACCTTGTATACTGCATTTGACACCGTTTTTTTCATTTAATTCTTCACTTTTACACTCAATTGTTTGCATTAATTTTTCGACCTTATTTTTTCCGCTTTTTTGAAATTTGAAAGTTGTTTCCTACATTTCAAAGTGTTTAAAATTTACTGGTAACATTCAATTTCCATAAAACTCAACGGTTCATTCTGAATACTGTAATTGGTCATATTTTTCAATTGATTTTTAAGAGCTTAATTTTCATTATTTTTTGACATTTTAAATTTTTTTCCTACACTTTAAGACATGTTGAAAATGATGGTAACAATCACTTTGCATCAAAATAAAAACTGTATCTTGAATAATGCCTTTGACGTGTTTTTTTAATTAATTCTTACATGCTTAATTATCCTTATTTTTTGGAGTTTCAAGTTCATTTCCTACACTTTGAAAGGTTACAAAATTGCTGGCTGCATCCATTTTGTGTTCAAATAAAATTTGTGTACGGTACAAATTATGCAAGAAACGGGGTACACTCATGTATTAAGATTGAAGCTTGTATTTTTAGGGAAATTGGACTTCACCATTCAATTTGACACATTTCTAAATGTATCAAATAAATTTCAAATTTCAAAAAATGATTCAAACCCAGCCGGTAAAAAGCAATTAACAAAACATTAAAAAAAACATGTCTAACACAGTATTCAATAACAATCTTTGGTTTTTATGCAAAATGATTTTTACCATCATTTTGATCATGTCTTAAAGTGTGGGAAATAAATTCAAAATTTCAAAAAAGAATGAAAATTAACCTGTAGAAATTTAAGTGAAAAAATGTGTCTAATTTCAGTATTAAAAATGAACCGTTGAGTTTTAAGAAAATTGGATGCTACAATTAAATTCTACACACTTTTAAATGTGAGGAACAACTTTAAAACTTCAAAAAAGCATAAAAAATAAGGTACACACATGTATGCAAACAATTGAGTGAAAAAGTGAAGAATTAAATGAAAAAAACGGTGTCAAATGAGTATACAAGGTATAGTTTTCAACTTGGGGAAAAATGGTTGTTACCATAATTTTCTACATGTCTTAAAGTGTAGGAAATAAATTCAAAATGTCAAAAAATGATGAAAATTAAGCTGTAAAAAATTAAGTGAAAAAATGGGTGTAATTTGAGTATTAAAAGTGAACTGTTGAGTTTTAAAAAAAATTGGATTGCGCCATTAAATTCTACGCATATTGAAACCTAGGAAATAAATTTTAAATTTAAAAAAAACATAAAAAATAAGGTACATACATGTATGCAAACAATTAATTGAGAAATGAGTGAAAAAAAATAATTAATAATCAAAATTCATTTTTATGAAAACGGTTTTTACCAAAACAATTTTAAAAATTCAAAAAAAAACTCAAAAAATAAGCGGTAAAAAATTAATTAAAAAACCGCGTCTAAATGCGGAAACCGCGTATGCTGCGCGCAGCCAAAACCGCGTCAAAACGCGGAAAAACCGCGTTTTTTTATTAAGGACCTTTTTTAAATTTAATTAATGATTTTAATTATAAAAACTAAAACTAAATTTCTAAAAACAGGTCAGATTGTCCTGCTTTATCAGTGACAAGCTGACATCGAGGGAGGGCTTTATGGTTTCCAACCAGGGTTCAATTGGTTTGCCACGAGTGGTCCTGGGCAGCCCAGATACAGGAGGGTATGGGATGAGGCCTTGTTTGACATGGACCAGGATACAATGATTCCCATTGATGAAAGCAAGGAATATTGGCCATGGCGACTTGGACTCAGGGGGCTTGGTTGTTGGAATATAACTTATTGAGCCTGCGGGGGATACAAAGTCCACGGGCTTATTGTTCCTATGTCTACGTCACTAATCCACTTGTCCATGGGGACGTAACCTGCCTCCCAATCAACCATGAGTGATTGAGCAACTTGTTTGACCTTGTTTGAATTAAGCTCGTCAAGTAGTTTGGTCCGCACTTGATGCCACCCATCTGGTTTTCCATAGGGGCCATCAAGGTGAACTACTGCCAAATGATGTGCAACACACCGGTGTGGAACTGCTCAGCAAGTGAGTAAAGAGCTTGGAGGGGATAAAATAGCTAATAAGGCTATAAAATAGTAGAATTAGTTATTGGTGTGTGGGTGAGACTGCCCTCCTGTCTAGCTTGCGGGAAAGTTACACTAAGAAAAATAAGAGTGTGGCTTATTCCTAAATTTATCTTAGTGTTGATACTACTGTTGTTGTTGCTTAAGAATACCTGTTGAGGAGGTAAGGGGCTTTATGGGGTTTTCTGAGTAATAAGGGTTTCTGTAGGGTTTCTCTGTTAAATCTGTTATAAATTCTCTCTGGTTCTCTGATCTTATAAGTCTCTCTGGTTTCTCTGGGCTCTGATAAAAGGTACGCAGATTTCTCTAAATCTTTCAAGGAGGTGAGAGTGGCTAAGCAATATTTCTGAATTACTTGTCTATGGCCAAAATTGAGGTAAGGGAAGTTCAGGGGCTCTAATGAACTCTGGATCTCTTAATCAAGGGTGATGAAAGCTGAGTAATATCTCTGATTACTGTTCTGTAGCTAGCATGAGGAGGGAAGAGGGAAACATGGGCCAGAAGAGCCTCTATTTATAGACAAATTGTTCTGCAGTACATGGGTTTTTGGCCTGAACACAAGTTCGTCTGAGAAGGGTACTTCTAGAGTGGTTTTTACTACTCTGAGATGACCTAGTCTGATATGAACTAGTCTCTAAGTGCCTATCTAATACAAGAGGTTGTAAATCTACTATATGAGGCCTATTCTTAGATTAATTGCTATGAGACTGGTATTCTTAGACTAAGTAGTATAGGAGTTATTTTCTAGAACTAGTCTGTGAAGTAATTTCTGATCAATACCTTGATTTACCAGTCTAAGATGGATGTAGTATCTTTTATGTGTTTTTACAGTCTATTTGTATAATTATTATTCATAAAGAGTTGTGTATTTTAGGCCTGATTTGTGCCTTATTTTAGCTATGTATTAACCCAATAATTATTATATATTTTATTCTGTAGCTTACCCCTTCCTTTCTAACATCTTAAACATTATTTATGTGTAATAAAATGTTTTAAACTACATCTATGGGTTTGATCAATCTTACCACATCCTCCCCCAACTTATTTGTCTGCCCTCAGACAAGCTTTTTTTTGAAACAAAATCTAAGTGAGATTTGCTCTTGAATAAATGAAGGAAAAGAAAAAGAAATTCTTTATCTTTATATATTTAATTTCTTGAGTCTTTCTTTTTTTTTTTAATGAATATTGAGCAAACTTGCAGTTTAAATATTTCATCTGCCTTTTTTAGTTTTGAAGCAGGAGGCGCTACTATTCTTAGCGTAATGAATTTCTGACTGATCAAGTGTTTTGACGAATTTTTCAGTTCTTCACAACCAAATTTCGATTTTAATTCCTGCGCAGCTAGTTCGGTCCCCGCTTGGCCGCAGTCTTTTTCGAGTCTGAACTGATATTCCCTAGTGTTGTATTCCTTGCCTTCAGGTATTTCACAACGTGTCTCAGGCGCTTGGCGTCCGTTCTAGATTCAAGTCTCAGGTATGTACTTTTTTTATTTCTATGTTCTGTTTCCTTTCTCAAGTTTCTATAGAAGAAGGAAAGAAAACTAATTTCGTTGTTGGATTACTAGGCTTCGCGCTCTTATATCCGACGAAACGCTAGATGTCTAGTCTCGGGTCGGTCTTGGACGCGTTTTTCGTTTATTCTAGTATCCACCATTCCTTCTAAACCGAAATCGAATTCGTTTGCGAGTTTTCCATAGCTTCATTCTTAATTTGACGCAGATCCCGAAACAATCCTCCAATCCCTTCTAAATCGACTTCAATCACAACTATCCGTTTTACGACGGCGGTTCACCCATCTTCGCGTTGAAATTCCCTCTGTCACGATCTTGGAAACCCTCTTCCTACAATGTTTCTTCCACTATCTCTCACCTCTGGCGACTAGTCTTGAACGCAGTATCGTTTCTTGTTTTTCTCAATCAATTATTGGCGAGTTATCTCTGATTCCAATCTAATAACAGAAGTCTTTCAAGGTAGTTACAGTTTTTTTTTTTTTTTTTTATATCTAACTGGTTTCCTTGGCGCACGCTCTTCTGTTTCTTTTCTGACTCGATGAATATCATTACTATCCCCTTGCGAATTTGTTTCTTTTCAGATCGATTCCAGTCCTCGAAACCTGTCTGTAAGTCAACCTTGTTCCTTATTATTCCTTTGACTCAAACTTCCATACTCGATCACCAGATCTGATTTCGTGCGTCTTCTACTACTCTTGCGATAATCGGTTCTTTGGCCTTCACGCTTGCTGAATTCTCTTTTTGAATTATATTTGGATATTTTCAGACGATTTTTCTTCCAGCCACAACCTCCACATCCTCTTCTTTAATTCGAACACTATATTCGATCCAACACTAACTCGCGTTTTCAACGAGGACGGCCAGCTTTATCCTACCCGACCGATTTGATCAAAGATTCATATGCAACAGCCTATTCTACGACGTCTTCCATCTTCATGCTGCATCTTCTTTCGACGAACGTCCCCACATCTTCTATCGACGAACATCCCCAGTTTCTCTCCCTCTTTCTTGATTCCCTCCCTGCCTTCGATGTTGTTTTTAAAAAGCCGTACCATCGTCTTTCGACCCGTCCCGTTCCTAGTCCCTGGCCTCAACGATCCCGCTCCCACGCTTGATTCAAACGAAGTCCAAGGTATGATGCTTTTCTCTTCTAGTTCCTCCATTCTTGATATTTGTTTGCTGACATCGGAAGTTGTTTCTGTCTCCCTTTGTTACTAGGTTTGTTTTTTTTCCTATAGATTCCTTACTCCGTTTGAAGGGAAAAAGCTATCTTCGTTGTATACTAATCTTTTCGGGTTAATCAATCTCGCTTCACAATGTCCCAACGCGTTCCGTTCCACTATCGACAACATTATCACTTTGCTTGTTCCATTGGGTTCTTTTTTTAGGCCCCACAACTCGCGATCATACTTCCTCCTGATAACCGTAACAAAAAATAACGAAGGTTCGTCGTTTCTTCCTCTTTCGATCCTCTTATTCAGACCGCCAGCTTGCTGACTTCTTGACTGTTTTATCCCTTCTTTCTTCTAGGTTTGTTTTTATTGATTCGGTTCTCCGAATAAAACTATCCTTGCTTGTGTATTAATTCCTTTTTGGGTTTAATTGTTCTCGGTTGCGCTTAGATACAACTTTTTCCTGGTACGTTTTTTTTACTCTCCTCACCCGCCCTTTGTACATTCATTGATGACTGTTACTAATTGCTTGTTATCTTTTTCCTTTCGATTTTGCTTCTTCTATCCTTGATTTAGTAGTCGATCCCAAAGCCCCTCCTCGTTGCTTATTGCCCGAGTTCGTTCTCTTCCTTTGGTCGACGTTCTCTTCATCAACCCACGGCGTTCCTCAACTAATCCTCATTCAAACATTCCCTTTTTCATTCGATCTGGTTGAACCCTCTTTCCTTGGAATCCTCCTTTTTTCCTGTTAGTATCTTTTCTTATAACTTTTGTCTTGTATAATTTAACTAATTTTTTTTATTTATTTTTTATTTATTTATATTTTTAGGCCTCTTTTAGTTTGAAACAGAAAGACCAGACAAGATGAACTCGTGCGTCCTATCTTGTCATCCCTTCCTTCCCTTTCACTAATCCCCCCTTCTTCTTTTTTTACCCTTTCCTTCTAGCCACTCCAAAATCACCGGTCAGACTCCCATTCTTATTGAATCCAGCCCAGCGCTTTCTCCGATGGCCGAGGAAATGGAAATTTCCATGCTTTTAACTCCGCCTGGCTTCAGTATTTACGACGGTGATTGTTTCACCCAACCCGAGTTTGACGCGCTCTTCGCCTTCGTCATGAATCAGATCGCCCTCTACTGCCGCGACAATTTCCCGAAGAATTTCATTGAACACGAAGCCCGCGTCAAGCTTTACATGGACATCTCTCGTGGCTTCAAGTTTGTAAGTAGAGTTTCTTCTTTCTTTTATTGTCCAGATTTTAACTAATTTAATTTTTATTATTATTTTTTTTTATTTTAGGCCAATGTCCATAACTTGATCCCTAAGTACGAGGATGGGATGCCTCGTGGCTCCTCTTCTGGTGGTAACCATTCTTGTAAGTCTTCATTCTTCTTCTTCTTCCTCCTCTTCTCTCTTGTAGAAAGGCTTAACGTGACTTGCTGCGTATTTTCTAGCTACCTCGGCTCCGTCCAACTCCGCCAGTGCGTAGGATCCTCCAGGTAGTTGACTGACAACTCGGTAAGGTCCATTCCATTTATTTTCAAACAGCTTTCCCCATTGAGAATCTAAACTTTTATTGTATACTAACACTAAGTCTCCTTTATTTAATGGTTCTCTATTTTTCTTTTTCTTATCCCAATAGTTTATTGATTGTTGTCTAGTTTTTATTAGCTTAACATGAGCCTGTTGTAGTTTCTTATCTCTTTTTTGTAATTGAATTACCCTGGCCTCAAGAAGTTCTTGAGTGCTTTTGATGCTCCACCAATCAATCCCCAAAAAAGTTTCAAATTCTAAATCCACCGGAAGAATAGCTTGTTGGCCAAAAACTAATTCAAACGGAGTATACCCTGTCGTACGCTTAGTCAAGACACAATCCGCAAACAGTACTAATGGCAGATATTCTCGCCATTTCTTTCCTTCAGTTCCACTCAGCTTAACTAAAGTATCTTTAATTGTTCTATGCCCACGTTCTACCATTCCATTTGCTTCTGGATAGTAAGGTGTCGTGACTCTAGTTTGAATACCCATTGATTTAAGTATGTCTTGAAACTGAGCTCCAAATTCTGATCCTCCGTCTACCACCACGTTTGTAGGTGCGCCATACCGAAGTATCCATGATTCATGAAACCAGCTGGCTATTTTCTTTGCTTGAATTTTCTCTAGGCCAACTGCTTCGACCCATCCAGAAAGATCATCTCTAGCAACTACTAGGTATTTCCATCTGCCTGCTTTTATATGGAGTGTATCTAAGCTGACTCGACTGAATAACACAGATCTTCCTGTTGCGTGCCGTTCCTCCATTGGTAACGTTGAACTTCGCTTCTGGCAGGGTTCGCAGGATCTGACCCAGTTCCTGACAACTCTCTTCAAGTGGGGCCACCAGAACCGTAACTTGACTCTTCGATACGTTTCTTCTGTTCCTCGATGTCCTAGGCTTTCATGGAGTTCTTGTAAGATTTTCTTTTGTATTGATGGCACCGAGATTACTACTTGCGAATATGGCTGGCTCTTTTTGTGTAAAACACCATTTGAAATAAAGAAAAAGAAAGATTTTTGTTTAATTTGCTTGAATTCTTCTGCACTAATACCTGGGGGTCTATTCATTGTTGATAAATAATATTCTAAATTTTTCCAGAATCCTTCTTGTAGGTTCACAACCTCCTCCCCCAACTTAGCTGTTGTCCCCAACAGTCGTACGGAGAAAGCTGCCTTCGTTCCAAATCCTGGGTGCGGTCTCATTGATTCCTCGTCCTCATCAAAGCTGGGACTGTCTTCTTCATCCAGATCTGGCGGTCTTCTGGATAATCTGTCTGGCATCGTAAAACTCTTAGCTGCAACGTGTATCAGATCAAATGAAAATAGTTGAATAAAGGCGATCCAGCGATTCATTGGTGCATTAGGTAAGGAGGGGTTGTTGATCATGCCAATAAGACATTTTGCATCCACTCTTAATTCGAAATGCTGACCCCATAAAACAGTTTGTAATTTCTTTAGAACTTTTGTTACACCGCATAATTCTAGTTTCGATTGTGAATAGCTTGACTCCCGCCGTGAGAAAACTACGGATTCATAGAGAACCGGTCTATCCATGCCTTTTGAATCTTCTTGACTGAGTACAGCCCCTGCGGCAATTTTACTGGAATCGACAGATAATCTAATTTTTCCTGCGTTTTCACCGTAATCCAATTTTTTTAATGTGAGTCTATGCCCACGATCTTCTTGAGTTGGTCAAAGGATTGTTGACAACCCTCTGTCCAGTCCCATTTAGCGTCTTTCCATGTAAGTTTTCTGAGAGGAGCGGCAATATTAGAAAAGTCTTTGATGAACATTCGAACGTAAACGCAAACACCCAAGAAACCTCTAACGTCGGTCGGATTTCGTGGAGTTGGCCAAGTTTTGATTTTATTCAACTTCTTCTTTGACACTCTTCTACCTTCTTTGCAAACAACATGACCAACCAAATCTAACGCTGGAACACAACAAGCAAATTTCTTGGCAGAAATAGTGAGTCCTGCCTCTTCAATTCTAAATAAAATTCTCTCCAGCGTGATAGCATATTCGTAGATAAATCGGCGGATTCCAGGATTCTCCTTCAGTGTCTCTCCTCCGTAGTCAGATTCCGGACCTTTTATTCCTCCGTCATCGATGAATATTCCTACGTTGTTTGGTATCTCGTCTTGCAGAATCCAAGTCATCTGAGCTTGGTACACTGCTACTGAATTAGTGGCACCTTGAGGTAATCTGGTGAGTTGAAATCTTCCTAGAGGGGTCTCAAAAGTAGTTAAAGGTCTTGATTCAGGGGCTAATTCTCGTTCGTCGTATCCTCCCATTATATCTCCTAAACCATAACAAGCTCTACCAGTGAAAGATTGAACCAATTCTTCTGGCAAGGGTGGTAATCCGGAGTCCTTAATGGTTACGCTATTTAATCTTTGTAGATCATGCACTATTCTTAATTTTCCATCTTGCTTTTTGATGCAAAAGACCGGACTTGAATAACTTGAACACGGTTGCTCGTACAGTCCCGTCCTAAGTCTTTCTCTTACTAGTTCGATAAACTGCTCTTTAATTGGTCCTGGAATTGGGATCGGCTTCTGTTGCCATGGTTCGTGTGGTATAACGGGAAGAACGTATGGTTTACCGTAAGAATGCTTCAAAAGTCCGCGCTCTTCTTCTGAAAAGGCTAATGCCCCAGCTCTAAGAGTGATGACATGACAAAATAAATTTTTTTCTTCTTCTGATAACCAATTTGGCGAGCCAAAATTAATCATTTTTAATCTTTCTTCTGTAATTTTTGCAGTAGGCTGAAATTTCGGTGGATTTGGTACAACTGGAGTTAAATAAGGGTCGCGAGATAAGGCAGGCCTTGAGAGAGGTGGATTAATAGACATTGGCATAGGTATGTTTATGGGTTTAATTTTCTTTGCAGTAGATTTATATTTTGCAGCTTGACACTCCATTCTGACCTTCCCCGGCTCCTTATCTACTTCAAGCAGTCTTTGTCCGGGGTCTAATCTAAAAAATCCCTCGTGACTAAGTGAGTTGGCAGAGTTGTCTCCCATTTCTGATGACATGGTAGCAAAATTGGAATTAAATAAGTCTTTCCCTTTTTATCCATGATAGCCAAAGATTCTCCGCCGTTATCCATGTATTTGATCGTGGCTGCAGCGTCAATCAGGAAAGGTTTCCCTAAGATGAACTGTACCGCTCCTCTCGCTATCCAAAAGTGAACGGGTCTCGTTATTTTTCCGATCACCACTTCGACTCCCTCAGCGATTCCAATGATTCCCATCTGATGTCCACCTATTCCTTTCAAGTTCATCGGTTTCTCGGTTATGACCAATCCTAAGTTCTGCGCCATATGCTCCGGCATCAAATTCACCATCGATCCAGTATCCAATAAAGCCTCGCTGTTGGTTCCGTTAATACTAAGTTTAATATAACCAAGAGGGCAGGAGTAATGTGTTACTGAGAGTTCGTCTTCATCATTGTTTTCCAGAGACGCATGATTAGAACTTTCGCTTTCTTCCACGGGTACTCGTCTGTTCGAAATCTTTTTCTTGAAAATATCCACGACTCCATTCGAGATCGCAAAAATTTCTCCATAACTTAGAGTCATTTTTCCTTCTGACAACATGCGCTTCGCCGTTTCTTCTTCAACTCCTGGATATTCTTTCGCCAAAGTTTTCTCCAGGTGAGTTTTCTTTGCCGGTTTTTCTCTTTCTTCTTTCTCGGATCTTTGTTCCTCGAATCTAACCTTAGCGGGTACAGTAGTAGCTTTTGAAGGTCCTTGAACAGATTTTTGAGCCGTTGCCTTCTTGATCAAATCCTCGGCGTCAATGTCCATTACAGCATCCTTCTCAACTCGTCCCTTCTTCCCGCTACCAGATTTTTCCGGTTCTTTTTCCGACCGTGTTCGCTTTCCCAAGTCCACATCATACGCCGCGTATTCTTCAACTTCACACTCCTCCAGTTCTCCAAACGAGGAAGTGACCACAGCCGCAGTAGTTTTCTTTGAGTTTTGATCAAATTTATCTACTTCGTCTTTAATGGCTCGACGCGTATCCCATGCAATCTTGGTGTTGTCTGGCAGAAGATAGTCCCGTCCTTCACGCTTTACTAGCCCTCGAGATTCATCAAAAACAAATAGACTACATCTATTGCTACTATGAGTATCCTGGAAGCAGTAGTAACACTTGAAATCTGGCTTCTTGAAAGGTACGTTGGTTGGAGCAGCTGAGGGTGGAAGATTAGCGTCCAAAGGTTGGTGCGGAGGTGCCATCTTTCCTGCTGTTAAAGAAGCTAATTGTCTTGTGAGGTCTTGAATCTTTTTCTCGTAGGATTCTGTTGGTGGTGCTGGTGCTGGGGGTCTGGGAATGGGGTTTCTGATGGGCTTAGCTGGCTCTACGTTGGTCTGTTCAAGCCTTCCCAAAGATCTACGTTCCATTACCGAAGTTGACTGGACTTCTCTCTGGATATATTGAACGATGATCTTAGTGACCGGTAGAATATCGCCTCCATCTTTAGAAACGCGCATCTTGTTGTCTCGAATAAGCTCCCGAGTGACAGCAGTTTCTAATGGTAGACTCAAAGCCTCCAACAATAATTCTCGAAAATCTTCTAAGTCAGAGTTGTATCCCATCCGAACCAAGTAGTGAGTGATCATTTCAAACTTCGACCGAAATATCTTAAACTCCTCCAAGGTTCGAATGCCTCCTTTCTTGGCAGCAGTATTGACTAAATCCTTCAAGTCTTGCTTCGTATATTTCACCAGAGGCAGAGACTTTCCGAACCGATCCAACAATTGTTTCTTCAACTCTTCCCACTCGACCATCTCATATCCTTCCATCTCCTCAACCTCATCCTTCAAATCGCCTCCTCTTACGAACGAAATAATCTGTTTCGCCAAATCCGTAGCGCTAGCTCCATCCGCTTCTCCCGCACGCTCATACCGCTTAATAAACTTCTCTATCGGCATGTTTGTTCCATCGAAAAATAATTCCTTGTCTAGTGGCTTAATCTTGACTACCCTTCGACTATCGGTTGGTCCTGCGTATTTAGGAATCTCTGGTTCTTTTTCGAGGAAATGGGTGTTGGATTCTGCTACTGAGTGATGAGATCGGAGATGGTTATCTGGAGTAATAGGACTGGGTTGTGGCATGTCTAATCTGGTGTCCAAAGGATGGATGAGGGAACTTCCAGAAGAAGCTACGGATGGTTCTCGATGCTGGGTAAAGGCAGTGTTACCGACATTGATGAGAGGAGTGTATTCAGACATGTTCTTCTAATCTGTTATAAGGGTTCTTAATATTTAAGGTAAGATT